AGGGAGAGGATTCTTCTGTTTCTTCTTCTTGGCTGGAAAGAGAAGGAAACAAGGAAACAATCCCCCAGAGCAGAGACAGTTAAGTAAAAAAACTGCTACATTCAATCTAAAACACAATACTTATTATGAATGAATGAATGAATGAATGAATGAATCATACCATTTTCCTCCTCATCGTCATCGTCTTCATCATCCTCATCCGTATCCTCGTCATCTGATGCATCACTGTCTGCTTCCAGAGACTCAGAGTCATTATGCTCTTCATCCTCTTCATCCTCACTGTCTTTGCTGTGATCATCATCATCATCATCGTCGTCATCACCACCATCATCATCAGATGGTGATCCTGCCTCAGACTCGCTGTGAGAGTTCTCCTCTGGCTGTGCTTTAGACCTTAAAAGAAGACAGTCCTCATCACACTGCTACATTCAATCATGCTCACAATCCTTTCATAAAGCAAAGACACAGTGCTAGCTGTCTGAGGTAATACACACAGCACTGATTACACAGTATAGCTATTCACACCTTTAAATACTACATAATACTTACTTACCAACAGCTAAACACCTGTCTAAACAGTACACTGCTCTAATGTGAGCTAGATAAGTGGTTAGTTTAGCTAATGTTACCTCTCCAGCAGTAGCTATTAGAAGAGAATCTAGTTACTCGACAAGCTACCAAATGTTATGCTAAGTATATATGTAAATAAAACAAAATACACGCAGGCTAACGTTAAGTTAACTATCATCTAAAACTATCATCATAAAACTATTATCCAACTCTAAGTAACGAAAACAAAAGTGTTGAATACTTATATCCCGTCACTGTATTTATCATCTTTTCGTCTGTCCATACTAAATAAAATCTCGTCAATGTTTCAGGATATATTAATTCTAAATCAAACAAGCATACACACATACACACATAATAACACTGTTGTTACACGTTTTTGATCAAGACAAAAGACATGTTTAGCTCTTACTGTTTCTCAGCAGGCTCATCATCCTCATCCTCATCCTCATCCTCTTCTTCTTCATCAGCCTCTGTCACTTTTTTTCCATCCTCTTTTTTACCTCCTGGGATAAAAAGGACGCTCAGTTTCACATCAGGAAAAATGTTTAGCGACGTACCATAAACAGAAAGTGAACACGTACCTGAGGCCGAGCCGGCCTGATTAGCCATGAACTTGTCTTTAGACACGGCCCAGTCTACAGCAACCTTTCTGTCTGTGTAAACGAGAGACAGACTAAAGTTAGACTGTAGCATTTATGAATGTTGATATGATCAGTGGGGGAAAAAACTGAGACTGGGCATGCGGGAGAGGGTCTCACCTTTAATTTCTTTCAGGTTGGTTGCTGCGAGGGCTTTTCCTGCTTCCAGCATGTTTTTAAACTGGACGAAGGCAAATCCTCGTTTCTTTCCATCTACACAGAACCACAAAACAATATATTTTCTTTTAGCAACCAGAAACCACTGATGAGGTAAGAGGATCACTAAAGTAAGTAACAGCAGTATAAGGCTCATTTTACACCAGAAGCAGTTCATCAAATACTCATTCATTTCTGCTCACTGGTTTAATAAATCTGACATGTAAATGTGTGTCATGACCTGGGAAAACCCTTAACATGGTGAAATTTTGACATTTTTCTACTATACACATGTGGCAGTCTGCAAAAAAGGGTCAAAAAAGGCAAAAAAATATTTATAATAATTTTATAAATTATTTTTATGCCAATAATATACAAATAGTTTTACCAAAACGATGCAGAATTTTTTTTTTTTTTTAAATTTAGGTTCGATTCTAATGCTGCACTGGCATCTGCCTGAAATGATCATGCTGTAGAAGGAGCCAGTTTTGGAAATGCACTTATAAACATTTTAAACCTTTGTATATTGATGATAATGTGATGGCGCAGAAGCATCACTGACATTTTGACAGCTGGTATCTGATTACAAACTGAATTGATTAAGCTTATACAATTGGCTCTGGTGCGTATCTATCAATTATCAAAGCGTAACATTCACTGCATAAGGACATCACGCTTAGCTAGCAAGATTTTAGGCATCTTAGATTTTAGGCAGACTGACTCTTTTTACTGATGTTTTTGGTAAACTGGCTCCTTACGCAACATGATCTTGGCATGACAATATCCTAGGCAAGATTAAAGCATAAATTTAAATATGTCCATGATGGTGAAACATATTTATGATTTCTTAAAGTTGAGGTATAAAAGTATGTCATTGACAGAAAAACCCAATTTGTCCAATTTTTTCCATCTTTTATGCAGGAATTCAGCCACTGAGAAATCTGATGGGTTTTCCCAGACCACCACACATTGTTCAGACTGTTAGAATATTATAAACATGAATTATCACTCTGATATGCTACACTAGCTTGAACTGTCATGAAGTATGACTTTTAACACCAGAGTGCACACTGTAAATACATGGCTACAGGCTGAAATATAGCCCATGTGTTGAGTATACAATAAAAATACACTGCATAAGAAATCTGGTGCAAAATGCCACACTGATTAACATGTAAAATGAGCCTAACAGCTTTATTTCATCACATCACCAAATGTGCTTGTACCAAATAAGCAATAACGAACAGATCTTCATCACAAACCTTTCTTTTCGATACACCTCTAACTAATAATTCAGTGAACATTACCTGGTTTTAGAGGGATCTTAACTTCCAGCACTGTCCCATACTTTGAAAAGACTTCCTTAAGATCAGCCTCAGAGCACTGAAAAAGCAAATAAATAATTTCTTTATTTCAAATGCTAAGTGTTCAAATCTAAACACTATAGGTTTCACTAAAGAAAAATCAAAAGCAACCACAACATTTTAAATATAGAAAAGACTAAGATGATCCAAAATATGTGGTAATGTACAGGGTGTCTGAAAACTCAGGAACTAATGGGAATATTTTCAGCAAATATGTCGATCTGAATATGTTGAGCAACAGCCGCAAAAACCTGATACTGCGGCTAAGAAAATGTGTAGCACGTAAGAATGAACATGTAGAGCATACGTTGTAAATAATAAATACAAAATTAGGTATATTAAGTCATGAAATTTCTAACATTTGTCCCTATGATAAAACTGTACTGTTTTCACTGAATATTATGCAATATCCATCCATCCATCCATCCATCTTCTGTACCGCTTATCCTGCACAGGGTCGCAGGGAAGCCTGGAGCCTATTCCAGGGAACTCGTGGCACAAAGCGGGGGACACCCTGGACAGGATGCCAACCCATTGCAGGGCACAATCACACACACACTCACACAGTGCATGTCTTTGGACTGGGGGAGGAAACCGGAGTACCCAGAGGAAACCCCTTGAAGCATGGGGAGAACATGCAAACTCCACACACACAGGGCAGAGGTGGGAATCAAACCCCCAACCCTGGAGGTGAGAGGCAAACATACTAACCACTAAGCCACCGTCCCCCCCATTATGAAATATCCATATTCAATTATATTTTAACTGGATGATTCACAGCGTTTTACCTCGTCACAGGCACTTACTTTGAAACTGAGATTTCGGATAATAAGCCTGGCCTTCATCTTGTTCTTCCTCAGACCTTGTGACTTCTGCTGGCTTTTCACCTCTGAGGTTTCCCCGGGACTCTCTGTTTCTTGCTCAGCTGCGCAAACGTTAAAAAATAAAGACAGAAAAAAAGGCAAAGAGTTGGAATTAAAAAAAGCAAATATAGTGACTGAAATAAAACTGACACTAAACATGGCACATACCTTTTTTGTTCTTTCCCTGCTTCTTTTCATTAGGTTTTTTCTTTGCCTGGACCACTGATATTTTTTGCCCGTCGTAGTCCTTTATTTCTCTGAGAGCTCGCTGAGCGTCTTCTGCCATGGAGTAAGTGACGTATCCTATCCCACGGCATTTCTCTGAGCCTGAATGGAAGAAGACACACAATCATACTCACACACAAGACAAACAAGATCTCATTGCTATGAGCTTTTACATGCTAACTTAATTTTAATGTAACTCTGTTTTCAGTTCTTTTTTTTTTTTTTTTTACACCAGTTCATTACAATTTAAAGGAAAGGAAAATAAATATCAGCAGGAAGTGTTACTTAAATCGAGGAAGTGTTAGCATTTCCTTCGGCTATGCTCTGCTCGTTTAAGGAGCAGCTGTAACCAGACAGATGTGGTGATGGTTCAGGATCCTTCTTCATAATGATTTAATGGTTAAATCTGCAAATCTGATAATGTTAGACAAGTAAATAGATATAATGCTAATCTGAAAGTGACTGGTTGAATAACTGGGAACTAAATTATTGAATCTGAGTATGTAAACACTGAAAAACCTTATTTAATAATAGATGCTTGATTGTTCTGAAAATGTGAACTTTAAAATTTGACTTTCAAAACAAAAACATACAGCAGTAGGGTGGTTTTTGATACTATGAATTTTAATGGTGCACTATATGGCCAAAAGTATGTGGACACTTGACCACTGCACTCATATGTGCTTCTTCCCCAAAACTGTTTCCACAAAGTTGGAAGCACACAATTGTACAGAATGTCTTTGAATGCTGTGGCATTACAATTTCCCTTCACTGGAACAAAGAGACTCAAACCTGTTCCAGCATGACAATCCTCCTGTGCACAAAGCGAGCTCCATGAACACATGGGTTGCCAAGTTTGTAGTGGAAGAACTCGAGTGTCCTGCACAGAGCCCTGATCTCAACCCCACTGAACACCTTTGGGATGAACTGGAACACCGACTGCACACTAGACTTCCTCGTCCAACATCACTGTCTGACTTCACTAATGCTCTTGTGGATGAATGAGCACAAATCCCCGCAGCCACACTTTAAAATCTAGTGGAAAACCTTCCCAGAAGAGTGGAGGTTATTATAACAGCAAAGGGGGACTAAATATGGAATGGTATGTTCAACAAGCACATATAACTGTGCTGGCCATATAGTGCATTTTAATTTCATTGTGAAGAATTCATTAGGGTGGATTAATGGAGGACTAGTGGTTAGGCCTCGGCGCTTTCACCACCATGGCCTGGGTTCAATTCCCGGCCAGGAAACCTACTCCAGCCACTGGGGTTGCACACGACAGTGCGCTCTCAGTGCCAGTCCCAAGCCCAGATGAAAACTGGAGAGAGCTGCATCAGGAAGAGCATTCGGCATAAAAACTGTGTCAAAACAAATATGTGGACCAACTTGTGGATCGAATATGTAGATCCGCTGTGGTGACCCCTAACAGGAGCAGCCAAAAGAAGAACAATATTAAGAATTCATTAGCTTTTAAAGATATTTGAATCTTTATGTCTCATATTTGCTCCACGGATATTGACAGCAGTCCAGAATTTCCATGTTTGCAGTAAACTGAATGGGATTAAAATTATGCAGTCATACTAATGCATGTCTTACAAAAATGGTGTCCATTGCCTTGTCTAAAGATTATTAACAATGTTAACATGAATCTAGAGTCAAGAGTGATTTTTTTTTTTTAAATCTGTTAATAGATACAAAATATTTTGTCTCTACACTTTAACACAGTGTAACTCTGTTGAGTTTTCAGCTCAGGAAAGAAAAAGTACTGCACACATTTATTTCTCCACTGCAAACAAAAAAAAAATACACTTTATATCATAAGTATGTGATGAGCTGTTCATGCACTCAGTCTGTGCAGTCATCATTAGAGGATCAGTGAGATGTTTTGGTATGCAATGTGCCTACAGGAAGTTGGAAAGCACTCTTTACCTTTCTCTCTGACCACAAAGCAGCGCTTGACAGGTCCTACTTCAGAGAAGATCTCCTCCAGGTGCTGACTGGACGCTGATGCGGGTAAATTCCGCACGAATAAAGTCAGTGCTGCCATCCTGTCTGTGTGTGCTGCTGCTGTGCTTATTACACCTGATCCCTGGCTTACAAACCTCAACCAGTTACCCTGAGAAAGACAGGCAGCGTGGAAATGATCACCTGGCCAAGCAGACAGCTGTCTAAACTGCCTCGCTTTGCTGCAAAGACTTTCTAAATACAAACTCTAGACTTTCTATTAGTATCATCCGTTAACAGGCATGACTGTAACACAGCACACGTTTTCTACGAGGCGGACATCTTGGATGTTTTTCCCACCCGTAGTACACAAGTCCCACCCCCTCCCTGTGATTGGCTAGTTGTTAATATTTGCGACAGGTTTACAACTTGGATAGTACATTCATCCAATCGGTGATGTGAGTTATAAGATAGTAACCAATCGTAGCACAGGAGGTGGGATTTGTTCCAAAACGGGTAGGAAAAACGAGGCTGACGCGTTTGAGTCAAAACGGAAGTTGTGATGATTTCACTTCCTGTTTTAAAAGGCAGGCAAGTGAGAACAGCAGCGCCACACACTGGAAAAAAAATAATAAAATATATACATATATATACATACACACACACACACACACACACACACACACACACACACATATATATATATATATATATATATATATACACACGCACATATATATATATACATATATACACACACACACACCTCCACACTCTGTGGAACAGGTTTGGGCCCTTTGGTTCCAGTAAAGGGAAATTATACAACAGTTAATTCAGGTTCACTGATTTGACTGGACAAGAGACGTACTTATATTTAGTCGAACCGCACTGGGACTTTTTCACTGTGTGTATCACTCCACTTATCTGTGTACAGTAGAGTTAGCGACATCATCAGAGGACATGGCAAACGATACATTTTTCATAAATACAACTTCTGACTTAAAATATGAATGCTGGTCAGATGAAGATGAAAACCTTTAACAGGAATGTACAAATCATTGTGAGCTAACCAGCTAGTCGACAAGCTATCAGTGTGTGTGGCTTCTTTAAGATGTATTTCCTTTCGCCGAACAAAAATGAACAAATTATTTGGCCATACTGTATCCAAAATGTCAGTTAAATGTCATTAATTTCTTATTTATAAAACTTTTGCATAAAAGCACCTGCAATCATGCTGTTATATTGAATATCAGCACAGCTGTGATTACCTGCAACAATGCTGATCCATGATTGGTCATTGAGAAGCAACAGTGAGCAGCAGTTGATCGATGGGAACAATGGTGAGCAGTGATTGGTCGTCTGAAACAATGGTGAGCAGTGATTGGTCGTTGGAGACATTGTGTAAGTGCAAGGCTTTACACACTGGTGGTGAGTCAACTGAATCTGGTCTCTCAACTGGTGTGTTGTGAACTGGAGAGCCATTATGAGTGCAGGACAGCCACTAACATCTGACTTGTCACTAAGCTCTTCTTCTTTTTTTTTTTTTTTTTAAACAGATGTCATTAAAGGAGTCTAAAAAAGTCACCAACAGAGGTTTGATGAAGACATGAATGCTTTTTACAAGTTAAAATCTCATAATGACCATAATTCCAACATGACGTGAAGGCACTATAATGCAGAAGGATGCCATAGACTGATGGTACACAAAGCTACTTCTAGTTAAATAAATACAATACTACTAATAGTACTAGAATACTATGTTTACATTTGTTACACGTTTCCACTCAATTAAAGTGACCAGTCAAACTGGATAATAACTCTAATCTAAATTAGAAATATCTTTTGTAGTGGTGGGTTGTGAATCTAAGATTGTGGACCCCCTTGATATGCTCGATGTGACCTCTAGGGACACTACTGTGTGAACCACTGTTTTATAATCTCCATCAGAAACTGATCCTCATGCTAGTATAAGAGTATAAGACTAAGAGTACTATCTAAGCTAAATCGAGCTGGTACAGTGTTGGTAAAACAGTATTAGAATACTACATGACAGCAATATGTGTCAAACAGTAGACTGCTTTTACTTAAAAACAAAACTCTCTCAAATAAAAATATTTATTAATAAAATATTACATAGGTTTAGTGTCCTATAAATTCACTGTTATACAGTAATGCACCTTCAAATATTAGTGCTGCTTAAACATTTCAGAAAACACAACATAAGTGAGAAACACACTGTTGTGGAAAAAAGAAAAAAAAAATCATTCTCAATGTGTCAGACATCAAAATGTTTCTTTACATTGAACCACCTGTTTTTAGGCAAATGTGAAATATTGAAAAAGGAATTCCCCCTAAAGTGATGCAATGAAATGAAGTTCCTGGTACTGTACTGTACATTATCATGATAAATTATTGTGTCCCTGTTAACAAATGTTCACATTTTGGCTTTTAGAGGTACCATGTTGAGAGAACAGAGGAAGTGTTCTAGGACTGACAGGTACTCCTGAGGATGGGCGCGCAGATGCCCGGCATGGATAGACTCCTCCCACTTCTTACTCATCACAATAATACCCCGCCTCTTCCAGTACTCCAGCAGATTCTGTATGACCTCCGAGTCACACAAGACATCATTGCCACAGAAGAAGTAAAGCGCAGGAGAGGTCAGAGGCGTGTTCCAGAACACGTCAATACTTGCGTTGAAGTAGTCCACCGTCTGCCGCTTGAACACGTGGAAGTAAAGGAGGCTGGCGCGCTTCACAAGGAACTCAAAACGAGGGAACAAGTTCTTACTCACACCTGGAGTGCAACAAAAGCAGTCAAATTGGTAACAGATAATGTGAATGTAGTCGTTCTTCTTCTATGGCTGAATCTAAAATGTCTCTAAAATGTCTCTATCATGTCTCTCTATTAAATCTATAGTGCACTATAAGTTCTAGAAAGACACAATTATACCCAATGTAGTGAGTAAAAAAAATAGTGAATAAACAGCCGTTTGAGATTTAGCCTAACTGTGTGTCAAGGAGATTTTAAAATTTAAAAAAATTCTGTGACAATGAATTGAAAGTGGCAATTTTTTACATGGATCCCTGTTCTTGTAAGAAATACAAATATCAGCAGTACAACTGTGGGTAAATGCTAATATTTACTCTGTTTGTGTCAGTATAACATGATAGGCTCTTTAATATTTATATTTTTGAATACTAAATGCAAATGTACAGTCCCAGAAAACAAACATCTTATCTTCTCATCTAACCATGTGCCAAGGTTTCCACATCAGTCAAAAGTTAAAACTTTTAGGATTTTTTTTTTTTCCTTTCAGAAATTCTTGTTTCCATTCATGTTTTCTCATGTGCAAAATTCAAATAAAACTCATTAACAACTGATATAAACCATCATTCTGCCTCTTTACACACCTATAGCCATGCGCTCCAGCGAGCCGCTAACCAGGCTGTCATAGATCTGCCCTTTGACTCTGTCGATCAGGCCACCATAGCGCCGAGTGTCTTTGGCCACGTGAACGAGCAGCTGAGCGAATGTGTATCCTCCGATGGAGAAGGCATGAACCACCAGGGGGCGCTTTGAGAAGCGCTCGCTCTCCAGCAGCTGCAGCACTTGTGCACCGCGCTCCAGGCCCCAGCGAGGCCACAGGAAATGACCCATGTTGCTCTCCACCACTAGCACATCGAAGCCTGTTCTAAGGTAGATCTCGCAGTACTTGGCCTGAGATTGAGGCCTCGAGCCGAGCCACGGCAACATCAAAAGCAGCGGCTTGGCCTGGCCACTGACAGCAGGTTTCACCGTACTCTCATTTACATAGAATGTGATGCCCTTGCTGAGGTGGTGAGTCGTTACGCCCTTCAAGGGCCCGTCATCAAAAGGCATCGCACTAGAAGACCTAAAGAGGTATATATGATATTCACTATATAGTGTACTATACTGGGAGGAGATGTTTTGTTGTCAGGTCCTAAAGCATAGCAATAAACAGCGTTCATATATTTGATTTACTGTAATAAATGATTTACTGTGTTGAAATTTTGAACACAAACACACACTTGCTAATAAAGCAAATAAGCATTTTCTCCACATCTGCTGTTCGCAACCTCACAGCTGTATGTGCAGCAATTTTGCAAGTTTTGTAGATTTATCTAATACAGTAGAAACTCATCTTCACAGTCGTTCATTCATCTTCAGTAAGCACTTCACCCTGGTCAGGATTGTGGTCAGGGTTTATCCTGGAAACACTAGGTACAAGGCAGAAATACACACTAGATAGGATGCCAGTCCCTTACAGAGCACCGTTCACACG